AGTCATCTTATCTGCAAATGTCAGTGAAAATGGACGACTACCTGGCCTGTCAAGACCCGTTACGAAAATTCAGTGGGAGTTGTTCTGGGGAGCAATAGCCAGAATTCAGGTATCTGTTAGTCATTCACCCTGTGCCTCATACTGGCCTGGAGTGGATTTGTGGTCTGCGGTACTGCAAAGAGTGGAGTTTCGTTCAACTGCTCAGAAGAACACAGGAGAAGCCAGAAATACCTGGGTATGGGACGGTCCTAATTCCCTAAGCACTGGGCTGGCCCCCTCCGTTACAGCACCGTCCCTGTGCCTGAGGCCCGGAGAGGTGCACGTTCTGTGAGGTTAGTGACGAGTTGGGTGCGATTCGGGGATTGACAGCTGTAACCTGCTCCGGTCCTGGGCGTGGGACTCTGAGAGCCCTGGAATCGCTCACTCAGCAGGGTGTGAGCTTGGCTTGTTCTCCCACGAGAACATGATTATTACAACAGTCCTTAGGTCTTGCTTAAGAGTGTTCAGCAAAAGATGTTGGTACCAATATAAAAAATTGAAATTCCATGGGAATTGCGATATACTATTGTTTTATAGACCTGAAGCAAACACTTTCTGCTAACTATGGGGACGGTTTTTTTTTTTTTTTTTGTATATCAGCCACAGTCAGGAGAAGGAAAGCATATTATTCCCTATTTACAATGTTTATTTCTACAATTGGGTATGGTCAGTAGGCATGTGTCTAGTCTCGCTGCTTCTGTATCGTGCTATATTTAGAAGCAACTCTGCCTGTTTGATATGCATGGCATTGTCAGGGCAACAGCACATTGTTTTTGGGCTATCAAATACATATTCTTCATTTTATTCTTTCCACTATTTTTAAAATGATGTCTTTTTTCCCTCTCCATCTGACCCTTTCTATTGAGTCTGTATCTTGTCTCGTTTATGTGTAAGTGAAATGAGATGGTTCTAAGTGTCTTCTGACTCTACACTGGCTGCTCTTTGAGGCCACTGGAGGAGAATCCTTCTTTAAGAGGAAGCCTCTTCCACTGGTGGACTCCCCCATGTCCACGTGTCTGTGTGTGTCTGTAGGACTGTCACCTTCATAGGCCACACCCATGCTGACGCGTGGCATCAGCAGTTGCTAGAAAGAAAGCATGTCAGTGCTGGAATTGTGGAGCCACTGTACACACAGATGTTTAAGAAGGCAAACAAGTCGCCTACTTAGAGCTGAAAGGTGTTTAAAATCGTTGCCTTTGCAGACAAGTCTAGGGATTGGCCAGCGCTGGCCACAGCCATGCGGTTTCCACCCTCCTCTGGCCTTTCAACAGTGGGAAGTCTGAACCAGAAACTTCTTAATAGAAATTTCTGAAAATGAGCCAGGAGTCCATGGTGGATTGGGTAATTAACTTCTTAGAGATTCTATAAAAAGATTTTACAAAAAAAGTTTTAGCGTTATGATTTTCAAATTAAACTAAAAAAAAAATGGAGGCAGGCGTGTCATGTGAGGGTTGGGTGGAGAGGGAGGAAGGAGAGTCAAGGCTCAGCCCTTTTGCTTTCTGCTCATGTGTAGTTTTCTGAGTCCCGCGTCACACGGGACCAGAGCTGAGCCTTTGGCCTCTGCACCAGTGACACCCGGCAGCTCCTGTCACACCCTGCGTGAGCCCCTCCTGCCAGCCCAGCGTGGTGCTTGAGCTCAAAGACGAGCCACAAGGGACACACTAGGTTTCCCACAGAGCTGTGGGTCCAGCTCTAACTGCAAAGTCCCTGAAATCTATGTGTGCCGCTTCCCACGCACGGATTAACTTCCCTCCAACACAGCGTGGGAATGTGGATGCTGAGAGTCTTCTCATTCAGGCGGATCACACCTGGCCTGAGGGTTGAGAGCGCTTTCTACCATATCCACAACGTGGAGTCCTAAGGCAACTAAGTCTTCTTGTTTTTGAGGCCGTTAAACCGCCGAGGAACATATTTACAACTGGGGCATAAACAGCCCCCGCCCCCTGCCCCCCCCATTTCGCTCGAGGAAGCGTGTACGTGGCGGCGACTTGCTGGTTTTGGAGACGTCAGAGCTGCTGCCTTTAAAAATGCCTTTGAACACGTGGGAGGGTTCAAACTATAAAACACAGCAAGGTTTTCCAATGGACATGTTTTCCGTTTCAAAAAGTATTTTCTTTTCTGCTGATTATAAAATTAACAGCTATTCAGGTGCAAAGAATTCAGGACATACAGGAGAATATAAGGATATGTGATTCTCATTGTCACAGCATTGATGGCCACTGTTAGTGACCCAGCGTATATCCTTCCTGATTTTTTCTATGACTACTACACGTGGGCAGGTGCATGCCTCTCGCGTGTGCGCGCGCGTGTGGGTGCTCACACGTGTGTGTTACAGCAATGCACTGTGTTGCTTAAGGGGCCTTGCATCTCGCCGCTGTTGGGTGTTCGTTGTTTAGATGTCGTAGCTTGGGCCCTCTGGCTTCTGTGCACAAACAGGGTTTCCGGAACGGCGTTCTATCCTGACGTTGTGCCTGCCTCGGTTTCTTCTCTTGTGTTTGGATGCTCTCTGGCGCCCAGCGGTTAGCAGAGAGGAAGCTTCACCAGAGGGTGGTCCAAATCAGGCAGCCTTCACGTCTCTCTTAAAAATGAAATTTATTTGCATTGTTGTTCTCGCCAAAAAGCGGGACAGGGTATTGGTAATTTTCAGTCCTTAGTTAGGCTCGCACTGCATTCTCAGTAACTAGGAAGAGCAAATTCATGAACGTGCAGCCACATGCTCCTCTCGGACAGAGAGGACTCCGCCCCCTCCAGGCTTGTGCCCAAAGGTACAAACATTTTAGAGGAAAAACATTAACAACTGTCATGTCCAAAGGCTCATTGTTCTAGGGAAACATCCAGGTTAAGTTCAATGAGGGCCAAATGTCTCCCTTGTACTGCAGGATGTTTCATTTGTGTATTTACGTATGTGTGTATTTATTTTTGCCGTGCGACAGTTGCTTTAGCACATGTAGACACAGCTTAAGGGAGTCAAGATGATGTGGCGTTTAAAGCTGGAACATAAATGTCCCATTTTCATGCTTTGAAAATGGAGAATCCCCAATTTTTGCCTTTGAATAGTGTGGGGCCCTCGTTCCTATATTTCTCTTGGTTTCCCGAGTATCTGTGTGCTCACAGTGACAGCGTCCTTATGTTCCGCTGGTAACCTTACAGAGTCCTGGGGGTGATTCCTGCTGGAATGCAGGCAGAGTGCGCTGGGCTTGGATGCTGGGGGCGCCCGTGAGCAGCACAGGAGGGGCGAGCAGAGGCCCTGCCTGCCGTGGGGCTGCCACGCGCTGGGGCCTGGGGCCGGGCAGGCTTCTCGAGATGCCAGGGTCAGCGGAGCCCAGGGCGTGGGAACCGCCTAGCTAAGCACAGACGGCAGGACTCGGTTGCACTCGTAACAAATAAAATGGGGCGAACGGGGCCACTTAGGAGATGCTTCAGGAAGGAGATGAGAAGGGACCAGGCGGCCGTTCACTAGGGCCTTACGCCAATTGGGGATGCTCCGGTGGGCGAGGAGCCACGTGGGTGTTGAAATGGTCTCGCCTTGCTCGGTTCCCTGCAGGACAGCCCTCGGCAGCAGGCATTTCCCTTCAGTTACTGGCGCATTTAAGAGAAAGAAGGTAGTTTTGTGAATTGCCATAATTTGATCCCAGCTTCCTTGGGTCGTCCCAGGCTCTCGGTGGCTCTCTGGGTCCTGAGAGTGTCTGCAACTAGGAGATGTCGTGGTCGTGGGGACACCAGCCCCGGGCTTGGGTGACAGCTCCCCCGCAGCCGCCAGGAAATGTCTCAGATCCATTCTTGCATGCCTTTGGGTCTGCTCCCTTGTGGGTGATCCACACTTTGATTATTGACCTGAAGACTTAGGTCTTCCTTGTGCTTTTTGGGGTTCCCCTTAATGGCAGGTGCCTAGCACCTCTGCAGCCGCGAGCAGCCTGCCTCGTTGGGGGGGAGCCCAGTGGGGACGTCGCCTTTTGTGGGAGGGCCGGGCATTTCAGGCCTGTAGCTCCTCACATAGACACACAGCATCCCTGGCTCCAGGCCGTGTTGTGGAAAGAAGGCTTACATTTTTGTTTTACATTTTCCAACTTACAAATAGATAACGGTTGACATCAATGCTTCTCTTTCTCAGCAATAACCCGGAGTTTGCCAGAAAGCTCTGTAAACAGAAGTCTGACTGTGCCTGAGCTGTAATCTTTTCTCTCCAGGCGTTGAGGGGACCTCAGCTTTCCTTTGCAGCTGGGCTGCATCAGAAGTGTGCGTTCAGACATGAACTTCCTTAACTGGAAAAAGAATGCTTCCCTGCCTTCAAAATAGCCTTGCTATGTGACATTTGTGCAGCATGCATCTTACATCAGTGCTAGCTCTGCTCTTTGCTTACTTGTTTAATTTGGCTGGTCATGGAGGCATTGGCTACACACACACACACACACACACACACACACACACACATTTATAAGGAATTTTTCTTTTATACCTTACCTTTAATTTTCAATGTACTTGGCTTATAGCGAAATGCACTATATTATTTTTGAACTATGTTTTGACAGAATTTAATTGCCATTTGACCTAACGATAGTAAACTCTCAGGGTTTTAAAATTTGGTTTCTTCTTTGACTATCTAGCATGGAAGGGATTAGAGAGTGAATGGCCAGTGATTGAAAAAGGGAAGAAACAATTCGTTTCATTTTAAATTGTGCAAGGGGGTGCTAGCTGGCGTTTGGGACTCCAAGTGCAGCTTATGACGTCCTCTCGTGCATATCATTTCATTTGTGCCTCACAAAGCCGTAAGTGACTGTCCATAGGACGCCATGCCCATATGATGGTTAGGAAACAGGCTCAGAGAGTTTAAGGCAGTTTCCGCCTGGAAACTTCTCTTTTCTGCCTGGGGCAGCGCTGTGATCACACTTTAGGCCCTGGCGTTGGGGGCAGAGTAACGGGCACATCCTAATGAATGCTCTTTTCTCATCTTATTGTTAAAGACATATGTAAGTTGCCGAAAGAAGGAGGCACCTGCAGGGATTTCATACTGAAATGGTACTATGACCCCAAGACCAAAAGCTGTGCGAGGTTCTGGTACGGAGGCTGCGGCGGAAACGAAAACAACTTCGAATCACAGAAAGAATGTGAAAAAGTTTGCGCTCCTGGTAAGTGAGTCTCCTTTGTGTTTCTGGCTTCTGCACGCAAGAAGGTCAATAGCTCACCTTGGAAAAATATTTGAGTTGCAATGACTATGATATACATGACAAAGAAGATCGATTATATCCTCAGATAAGAAAGGTGTTCAAACAAAACACACGAAAGTATCTTTTGAATAATTATTTTGTTTCCTAAAAACATATGTGTTATTATTTTGTTTCCTAAAAACATACGTGTATCTTTGTACTTTTGCCAGTGAAGAAATACACGGCGACTACCTGTTGCTCTTCGGAAATGCTATTAAGTCCCTGTTACTCATAAAATACCGCACCAAATGCAATTACTGGGAAGCTAATGTAACGAACAATTATAGACAACACCGAAGATAAACAACCCCCACATTTTCACCTTTAAATAATTTCACTCCCTATAAATAATAACGTCGGCACCGCGGCCACCCACTGTCTCCGTGACATTGGTAATGATGGTAATGGTGAAAACTTGGAGCAGAGCCTGGGTTCAGCACCAGAATGGGGGTGGGGGTGCGGTTTGCACAGAGCCCTGGGGGACGGGCAGGGCGAGAGGGCGGAGCCAGACCGCACAGGCAGCCCCAACCCCAGGCCCAGAGGGCCACCGGGAGCTATAGACAGTGCTGAGCGGAAAAGTGAGAGAGGTGATGCAAACCAGAGGTGGTGGGATCGCGTCACGGTGAATGCAGGGTCCTTTCTGCTGGGTAACGTGGCTTTTCTTCTCCTCCCTCTGCCGGCCCCTCGCCCTGCCCACCCATCGCTCACCGCCCAGTGCCCGCCAAGCCTGAAGTCCTGAGTGCCATTGGAACCTAAGCGGGGCTCGCCAGCGACATATACCTCTGGAGGAAGAAGGAGTCAGCCGCTGCCAACTCGTCTCTGTAGAAGCCCCGGGTGTAGGTTCCCTTGCACTGTGCCGTTCCTCGCTTTGATTGACACTCGAGCTGGGAGGAAACCGTCTGCTGCACGCCCAGTCGATATGGTGCTAACCGTGCCCGCGGACCGGCACTCTCGTCCCCGGCAGTCAAATCGTATGCCTTGAACGTTGTGTAACAGTGCCCACTGCTGGTGTTGATGTGAACATTCCTATAGGCTCAACTTCCCTCTGGAGTTCCGTGTTATGCCTGTTTTAGGCAAATGTAAGGTCTAGAAAATAATCCAGATGTCACGGCTACTCTACATCCTTTCGCTTGGTTCGTTCTTTTCTCCTCTTCCTAGTTAAGCATGCCTTTAGGTGGAAAGCCTGTGTATAGTGGAGAAACAAGAGTTCCATTTTTCATTCCCCCCCCCAACTTCCTGGATTCGTGTTCCAGCTAATTTTCTTTCTCTGAAGCCTCTAACAAATGATGTAGTTAGAACGAAGCAAAACCCCCTGCTCTGTGTGCACCGTTGGGACCAATGCCTTAATTAAAGAATTAAAAGAAAGTCATAATAGAGAATATTTTTGGCATTCCTCTAATGTTGTGGTTTTGGTTTTTTTTTTTTTTGTGCGGGGTGGGGGATTAATTTTAATTTTAAAAATTTTTAGGAAATTTATACAAAGAAACTTTTTAATAAAGTCTATTGAAAGTGTTGTGGGTTTGGCGTTCTTGGCCGTCTTGCTTCCATGGCTCGGGGTGTCAGAATCCCCCCGTGCTGGGGAACTTGGCCCAGTTCTGGCTGATGGTCCCAGGTACCCGGTGGAGGGGGCAGGAGAGCTCCACCAGCCAGCGTGCAGGGACTAGGTATAGACAAACCACCCTTCCCCCTCGGATTCACCCACACGCTCTGGCATGCCACGGCTGGGCAGGCTGCTCTTTGCTGTGGGTCCAGGAGTCCGTCTGGTGGCAAAGGGCCAGGCTGGCTTCCCTCTCCCCTGCCTCTCAGCTGCCTGCAGAGCTTTAGCCTCCTCCCTGCCCTCCTGCCTGCAGCCATCCTTCCCTGAGGTTTGCTCCGCTCCCGCCCGCTGCGGCTGGGGGTGCAACGTGTCCCCAGGACTCCCTGCCCCTTTCCTGGAGCCTCAGAGACAGAGTACGAGGTCTGCTTTTTGGCCTTTTCCCCTTAAAGACCTTTTTCTCTTGTCTTCAGAAATAACACAAGAAATTAACAAATCCATATTCAGATGTCACCTGAATTCCATTTAGGAAGAAAATGGAATTTATTTAACAAAATAACATATCCCGAAAAGTGCCAAAGTTAGAATTATAGGGCTCTTGGGCGTGAGCAGGACTGTCTTATGTAAGGGCAGGGGTGACTTGCAGGTGGGTCTGTTGGGCGGGGAGGGAGGAGGAAGGGGGTGTGCAGAGCTGCAGGGGTGAGGGGAGACGGGGATGTCCCAGGACCACTCCCTGGGGTGCCCACCCTGATCCTGGAGGGAAATTTCTAGACTCTCGGAGTGCTCAGAGCAAGTGCGTCTTCATGGAAACCGGGGGAGGAGCTGAGGCTCCTGCCGAGTCACCTGGGAGAGGGGAGAGGTGAGAGGTGGGAGGTGGGAGGTGGGAGGTGGGAGGTGAGAGGTGGGAGGTGGGAGGTGGGAGGTGATGTGGGCTGGACACCTCCGCCTGGAATTGGGGGGCCTTCATGTCTACGACCTTGGGGGTTGGAGTTCACCTGCATCTTGTTGGGACTGGCAGGGCCCAGGTGAACCTCAGGGTGGCTTCCGGGGAACGGCAGAGCTCTGGGGATTCCTCACGAGCTCTCATGAGCCCCTAGACTGCCTCTGCTCGTGTGGCCTCCAGGAGTCCTGGGGGATGCCCCTCTCTGTCACCACCCTGGGAGAGGGACGAAAGGGCGAGCCATTCCTGCTCTGACACCCTTCTGCCTCTGGGCCAGGCCCACTGCTCCCATCTTGGAAGGCCCCCTTTCTAGCATGAGGCCAGCCTGGCGGGCCGGCAGAGAGCCCAGCGACGGTCACAGGCTCCCTTCGAATGGACATTCAGACCTGGGGTGGGGCGGGGAATGTGCACCGTGGGACTTTCTCAGGATCCACCTCAGATGTCCCCCGCTGCACGGGAGCAGCCCCGCCCACAGAAATGCGCCGCAGTGCCCCAGCCAGTTCATCCCGGGCGGCGGGACGCCCCGGGGCTCTCCCGCGTGGCGGAAGGGCATGAACCTCGGAACGGCCTGCTGAGCTTGCCGGAGCCGCCCTAACAGAGTGCCGCACGCTGGGCGGTTTAGGACAGCAGGAGTTTATTCTCTTACGGCTCTGGAGGCTGGAAGTCCAAAGTCAAGGTGTTGGCAGACCCCACGCCCTCTGAACGCACGGGGGACAGTCCTTGCTTGCCGCTTCTGCCGCTGGTGGAGGCGGCAGCCCTCCCGTTCCTTAGACTACAGCCAGACTCTAACTCTGTCGTCACGTGGCTTCTCCCTGCGTGTCTGTCCTCCCGTGGCCGTCTGTCTTGTACGGACATCAGCCACGCGGGGACTCCAGGATGCCCCCGTCTTAACACATTACATCTGCAACGGCCCTATTTCCAGTCAGGTCTCATCCTGAGGTACTGGGGGTCGGGACTTCCACACTTCTTCTTTTGGTGGGTGACACAGCTCAACTCGTGACGCAGTCTCAGCATCTCCAAACCCGCTTCCCACTGGGCTCTGTGGCCCTACCGCCGAGCCCCGGGCAGCAGCTGTGGTGACAGGCGCCCAGCTGAATGCTGAATGCTGTCACTGCCTGGTCGTTTTCAGCTACCGAAACTCACGCCTGGATCTCCAGGCTGGTCCTGTCCACGGTAGAGTTTAAATCTCGGATCCAGTTCAAAGCTTCTGCGTTCTTAACCCCCGTGCAGGCTGACCCATGGCCTTGGTGGTGCAGTCCCCGGCCTGCCCTCCCACCCTCCCTCTCTGCCCTGCAGCCCAAGGTCTCTTCCTGGGCTCCCATGGGAGGTCGGAGCGGACTTCCCATCGGCGGCTGCTGCTCACTCTTCGCCCGTCCTGCCCAGGGCTCCCGTCTGGGGCAGGGTCCCTCTGCCGACTCTCGGCATACGTGGTTCTCTGCAGAGTCTGGTAGCGAATCTCCCGCTCCCCTCCCGCAGCCCCCTGCGAGGGAGCTGCCCCCCCCAGCTCTCCATCCTGGCTCCTTCACCCAGGGGACCAGCCTCTTGGGGTGCAACAAAGTTGGCTGGACCCAAGCTGTAGGAAACTAACATGGCCCTGTCACACCCGCTGGCCGCCCTCTTCCTGCTCAGTGCCTGCAGGTCCAGCGGCTGAGCACACGGTCAGCCGAGAGCTGGACTCGGCCGTGGCGGGAAGGGACGAGTCAGACCCGCCCCAGATTCAGGTGTTTCTCTTCCGGCCTCTTGGGCCCCCGGCGTGGGGGAAGGGATCAGCCGAACGGTCCTCCCTGTCTCGTTGAGAGGAGAGGGGGAAGAGCGGCCCCTTTCAGAAGCTCGATTTCCCCCCCCCCAGGCCTCGATGGCCTTCTCCCCTGTCCCTCGACCATCTCAGCGGTGCCCGTGGTGTACTCAGTTCAATGTGCTCTGAGCTGCAGCCCGAGGTGATGAACCCTGGGAAACTGGGGTGCACCAGGTGCCAGGAACTTGGGGAGCAGAGGGCTCTGGGCCCAGCTCCCCCAGGGGTGGGCTGAGCCCTGCATTCCTCCACGGATCCCCCTGTCGGTCATGGACATGAGGCGAGCGTCACTGCGCGGTTTCACTGCTAGGCCTCCCCCAGACGCAGGCCCTGGGACTAGGGCTGTAGTTTATTTGGGAGGTGAAGGGAATCCTGAGTGGCTGGGGCGTGGGGAGTGACACGGGGAAGAGAAGGCTGCTATTAGAAGCTACGTCGTTTTAGTGCCAGCTGAGGGTGGCTGCAGCCTGAGCCCCACAGGGGGACTGGGAGCCCCTGGGGCATGGGTGCCCCAGAGCCGGCAGAGGGAGCTGGGGTATTTGTACACCTGCTCCCACCTGCCACTGGCTGCTCCTGGACAGGCAATGTTCTGGTTCTCTTGGCTCGTACGCACCCTGGCAGGGGGCCTTCCGTGGTGTAGGAGGATGTTCTTGGCAAAGACTTGCAGGTGCTCACACGTGGAGGCCTCTGGAGCCTGGGGACCCAGGCCTGGGGCACACAGGTGGGACACCGTTATTGGTAACTTACCTGGAGGGTCCGCTCCAGGCCTGTTCCAGACTCGCTTCCACCTGCTCCAGCGGCCGGACTCCCCTCCCTCCCTGCCTCCTGTTGCCACACGCCCGCCTGGCCAGTCCAGGTTGGGTTCACTCCATCCCTGCACTGCTTCTCCGCGCCTGTCCCCGGCCGTGCGAGGCTTCTGGGACAATCGCACCCACAGTCTCAGCTGGGTCAGGAGAGCAGATGACGGAAGTCTAGGTGAGCGGCTGGTCGGGCTGGCTGCGTGCTGGCGAACTCAGGGGGAAGCCGGGCTCTCAGGCAGGGGATGGGCAGTTTTTATCCCCACAAAGCAAATAAAACCAAATCCTTTGTTAGGTCAGCTGTCCCGAATTAGGGTACAGCAGAGCATGGTCTGAGTTGCAGGACTCCTGACCCCTCGATGGCTGGTGCATTTCTCCTTCCAAGACCCCTCCTTTGCCAGGCCACGCTGAGGACTCTGCGTCCTTCCTTGAACCCTGGCGTGTCCCTGACCCTAACACCCGCTCAGCTCTCTCTGGGGCAGCCTCCAGCCTGGCTGCGTGGAAGGTGGCTTGCCAACAACGAACACCTGTTTTGGATTTTTCTGAGTAAGGAATAAATTTCTATTGGGGTAAGACATTGAAGACCTAGGCTTTTCGGGCAGCTAGTGTGACCCTAATGAACACAGTTCACCTGTATCTGGTAGCCGTGTGGGTCAGGGTGGTCTAGTTCACCCGGCTATGTCTTTATGGAGCATCTGAGCAAGTTACCATGACCCAGAGCTCTCTCAGAGGTTCAAGGTCATACTGGTTCCTCCTGGACCCTCTTTGTCATCCTCCAGAGGCTTCTGTTGCCCTGGAAGCAGGATCTGAGCCCTGTGTCTTTTCCCAGAGCAGAGCACGCCTTCCCCAAGACCCTCCCCAGGGCCTTCCCCAGGGCCCTCCATGCTCTCCTTCCTTAGCCCGAGCTGCCCTGGCTCCGGGCAGGACTTGGAGAGGCTGGAGCCTCTGGCATATGTTCAGGGCCTGCGCGGGAGGTGGCCTGGGCTGAGCGCGGCCTGCTTGGGCTCCGAGGCCGAGTCATGGGACATCTGTTTGGACTCAACTATTAGCACGTCTCCGTGCTTTCATCAGCATCTTTGCTGGAGCTTTGAATGCAAGCGCTTTCTGCTTTTTGCTCCCTCTTTACAATTTTCCACATAATTAAAAAGAGATCACGATACGTGTGAGTGGGTGCCAGGCTTTTCGTAGGAAGCCAGTATTATAAACCCTCAAATGCATTTGACATGCCTCCCCCAACCCCAGTGACTCATGTTTAGGGGTTGGTTAATATTTTCCTGCCAAATTCCCCCGGTTGTCAGCTCTCCAGCTGGACCGAGCTGTTCTTCAAGAGCCAGGCCGTCAGGGTTCCACATACTTGGGTGTGGCTTCCGGAGAAGTTGGGGGGCTGCTGCCGGTGCCGAGCCGTGGGCCGAGGTCCAGGCGCTGCCCTCTGTCCTGCCCCTCCCCGGTGAGCTTGCTGGCCTGAACTTTGACGCTGCCCATGTCCCCACCTTCCCCGGGAACTGAACACGGGCAGTGAGCCACTGTGGGGGCCGTCGGATTCCGGGGGGACTTCCTGTTTGCTTGGAGTCTTGTGCTGCAGAGTTGGGCCACCCTTCAGGGGTCCTGGGGCCCCACGAGGAGCCAGGTTGGGGACCCCTTTCCACGTCGTTCCTGATTCTGTGGCACACATGGTGGCATGAAGCTGCTGAGGAGCAAAATCCCAAAGAAGTAGCATTTGAACATCCAGTCGTAGCCTGCAGACCCTGGGAGGTGGTGGCGGGAGCAGTCGGTGCATCATGGGGACCTCTCCCCAGCGTCACTGGACCTGGACAACATATAGTATTGTCCTGCCTCAAGTCACAGGCGTGTGTGCAAACAAACCCTCACGCTGCTGCTGCAGACTCACCTAGCAGAAGGCTTTTGGGCGTCTGCAGAGGAGCTAGCCCTCCTTCTGATTTCAAGAGAATGATGAACTTCAATTATTGGCATGAATTTTCCAGGAGATGCTAGAAAAACAGAAATAGTGAAATAGGAAGAAACTGGCGGAACGTATATGCCCCGGGAAAGAATATTTGTTCTCGAAGACTCAGATTAAAGCAGCTGTGCTTTATAGACGTTCTAATTTAAAAAATTAGAAAATTAGAAATTAAAAAATTAGAAAAATCAACAGGTCATTTGTAACCAGTCTTGTTCTGGTTCCCTCAAAAGCAGCCCCTGCCTGCGTGTCGGTTGCAGGTTGCCTGGGACGGTACGTGGGAAGCAAAAACCAGACAACCGAGGAGCAAGACAGGGAAGTGACAAGGCAGCAGGAGCAGCATCACCACAAGCAGGTGGCATCGGGGACAACGGAGGCTCAGTCCCCCTGGGGCCCCGCCGAGGACCTGGGCGTCTCCCTATCGACGCGACGCGCATCTCTCTTGGGTTGGGGTTGCCATGGGGACGTCAGGTCTCAGCGTTTCCGGGCCGCCCTGCACGCACTTGCTAAAGAAGCAGAGAGTCCTGCCAGCGAGGTGGGTGCTGTCAGCACACCTGGAACCTTCCACCGTGGGCGCAGGTGGGCTCAGAGGTGGGCTGGGGTGTGTGTGGCATAAACAGCATCAGCAACCGGCTGATGTTTGGACATGAACCCACAGGAACTACAGTGGAGGCCAAGCCAAGTGGATGGGAGGCTGTCTAGCGAGGATGACAGTAGAGGCCACACTGTCCACCTGCGATTGCCGTCGTGGACACAGTGAGGAGGTCCATGGGTCCAGCACATGTGCTGAGCTCTTGCCACGGCCCCTGTGTGCCCAGCACTTGTCCAGGTGTGGGTCAGCAAACTTGGTAAAGGACCTGCCCAGTGTCCAGGGGTCCAGGGGTCCAGGGGCTCTGGACAGAGCGATGGGACCCGTGACGCGTCTGTGAATTTTGGCTCAGCTCTCCGTTCCTGTCTGATTTTGGAACGGACCCTGATTTTCTAGTCTTCCCGTTGTGGCCGTAAGCTGCTCAATACCCTTCCGGTAGTACGATTTCCTGCCTGTGTTCACCAGAGTAAGTTTCTGTCACTTGCACCCTAGAGCCTGAACTGGTGTACGCATACATTTAATCACTTATTCATCAAACATTTGTTGAGCAACTAACATGTGCTTGGTTTTACACAGGGCACTGGGGACACAGTGGTGACAGACACGCGTTCCCGGCTCTCACGTGGCTCACACGGCCAGGGAGGTGGCGGGCGGGAAACTCGCAGAGTCCCCGAGGAACGGGAGGGTGCATCCCTGCAGCTGAGACTGCCTGGTGAGCCACTGGGTGTTGAAGACAAGCCTTTCTGAAAAGCTGATTTATAAACTTAAATCCAAAAGGCAAGAGGGACCCGGCCCAGGGAAGACCTGCAGGGAGAAGATTCTAGATCGAGAGACGAGCTTGGTGAAAGGTCCCAGGTGGAGATGGTTCTGACCTGTTTGAGAAAGCGTGAGACGACCAGTGTGGCTGTAGCAAAGTGAGTGAGGGGGAGATTTGGGGAGTTGGAGTCGGGGAGAGCACGGCCAGGTCGGGGTACGTCAGCCTTGCAGCCATGGGAAGGGACCTGTGGGCTTTACCTCAATATGGCAGAACCCCCTGCAAGGTTGAAGTGGGGGCCGTGGGGGGGTGTTGGTTGCCACTTGTTTCTTTCTGGGGATGGGGTGGTGTGAGTAAAAATTCTGTTACGTGCATTGGAATTTGGGGTGTCTATTGGACTTTCAAGTGGGGACAGGAGGAGGTTCAGAGGAAGGCTGGGCTCTGCCTGCAGCAGCTCTGGAATGTGGCACGTTTCGATCTATATTGCAAAGAGATCCCCTAGTCGAGAGTGTCCACCAAGAAGGAGCGGACTCTCTTTGCATCCATCGGCAGCTGGAGGCCAAGCAGAGACGCCAGACTCCACGAAAGAGGCTGAGAAGGAGCGGTTGGAGAAGCAAGAAGGGGCTCGGAAGAGAAAGGCATCACGACGGCAGGAAGAGAGGCTGTCTCAGGAAAACGAGGGGTCACCTGTGTTGCATGCGGCTGCAGGGTGGGCAGGACCAGGGCAGGGAAGCAGGAAGAAGTATCCCAGGAAGTCGCTGTGTGTGGGTGAGCCAGGGTGCTCTCGGCAGCCAGGAACAGAATCCGCCTAGACGGCGTAGGCATAGACCACCTCCTCTCTTGGGAATCTGGAGCACCTGCTGCGGGTTTGGTCCATCCCACGGCTCGGTGACGTCGTCAAGGACCGGGGTCCCCGTCTCTCTGGGCTGCTTGCAGCCTGGGACCTGCCCTCCGGCTGGAAACGAGAGCGGCTCATTCGGACTCGATGGCATTTAAGGGAACGAGGAAGACCACGTCTTCCTGTGGTTCGCTCAGGAGTGAGAGCAAGTCTCTGGAAAGCTGCCCTGTGGCTGTCCCCATGCCATGCAGCACACTGGTGACAAACAGGTCCCTGGTTTTCCCTAAGCCGACACCGGCAAGGAGCATGGGACTCCTTAGCTCCAGCAAGCCTGTCCCTGTGGGGAGGTCCAGGAAGCAGAGGGCACGTTTGAGCCGCTGCGCTGCAGCCTCTTGCGGGGACCTGGGCTCACCGAGTCCTTTCCTGGGCCTTCGTATGTGGCCCGCGTCCACGATACACAGTGACTGGTGCCATTCAACCAACGGTCTGCAGTCTGCCCAGTGGCATGGGCTTTACTCTTCCTAATTCTCTTGAGTTTTTCCAAAGAAAAAGAACAACAACAGAAACAAAGCTTCATAGTTTTTGTTCAAGGGACGCTCTCAAACTGATGAGGCTTAATGACATTTAGAGTCTATTGGGTTCCCTCACGGTGAGCTGGGAAAACCACGTCCTTACGTGACTGTCAGCCCTGCTGCCTCCACTAGACACTGGCTTTGCCCGGTCTCTAGATGTGGCCGTTGGTGCCCTGTGCCCCACACCCCAGCCCACCCCGAATTCCCACCCCCTTCACTCTCTGGGGCCTTCCTTAGCCCGGGCAGACCCAGTGCTCTGGCCTGCGGTGATGACTGGCAGACAGTGCAGTGGCTGCACGTGATTTTAGGGCTGTGCAGAAAGACGTCAGAACTGCCTCCGTCTTTGCTTGTCCTGCCCTTATCTGCACACAATGGTTTGTTGAATTTCCCACCTCATTAGGGGAGTTAATGCTACTCATAGTCACGAAAATACGAACCGTTTCCAGAAACAGCAATTCGTACACGGTTAATGTCATTCAGGATAAAGACCCCAAATTAGGATATATTCTAACTCTGTTCTATCCTGTCCTGTTTCAGAATGTGTTCAGAAAGCCGTTTCTGCGTGCCTGCCCTGGGAAGGCTTGAGCGGAGGCCTGGGTCTGTTTAACATCAGGCTGTGACCAAGTGGCCAAACAGCTTTGATTTGTAAAGTAAATGTCTGGAGGGAATTTATGCGAGTGGCTCTAGGGTCCCTGCCACGGATGCATCACACAAGGATCGTCTTTCCTCAGATGACCGGAATGCAACGTAGTAACCGTCGGCTCAAACCCTGTCCTTGTTTGAGTTTCAGAACAAAAATCCATCGTCACTTGGAGCACGTCATAGGTGGGTTCTCGTTAGTTCCTTTGCCCCCCGGAGCTCTCCAGGATGGAGACCCGTCCCCTGCTGGGCTCCTTGCTGCCGCCCCTGCTGCCATCGCATCCGACTCTCCCCTGCCTTTTAAGGAAGCGCTCTTCGCCACTGGACGCGTTTCAGCCGCCGCATTCCAGCCGGCACACATGGAACCCATTGCCGGCGAGCGCAGGGGAGCCAGCCAGCGTGGCAGAGAGGCGCTAAAAATAGCCGCTGCAGCCTTCGCTGGGGCCCTGCTCCTCCTCTGCCCAAACAGGCGCTGCTGCGTGCGGGGCTCGCCCGGACTCTGCCGACTCCCTTGTTGGGCAGAAGTTGTCCCTCAACCCCCACCCCAGATTAACGGTTGGTTTACAGAGGAGTGGCACCAGTGCCCAGTTTCCTGGGGTCACTCTCTCTTGCAGTCTCCCTGACCTCCCGGGGCCAGGTCCTCACCTTTCCTGCCAGAGAACCACAACGTGGGCAGCACGAAGCAGGAAACGCATGGGCAGCCGAAGCGGCCACTGGCACTGTGTCTCAGAGACCCTCAGACTCAGCCCGCTGTGGTCCACTCGGAGCACACTGAGGATGCTGGGGCCAGGTGCAGTGCCAGGCCCACGTGGTGGCAGGGCCAGCCTTGCAAACACTCAAAGCCGCGTGAGGCGGAACCCAGCAGCGGGCACTCTGGGGCTGGGAAACAAGGAAACTGTGTTCGTCTACAAGGCAGTAGGGTTTGAAGATCTTAACACACCGCTGCCAGGAAAACGTCTTGTAGGCAAAAACGGCCCTTGGGCCACCCGTTTGCAGTGTCTGGTTAGAGGGTCCGAGTTAAAATTCACTTCCCAGTGCACGCTGCTGGGTCTGATCACGGTGTATGGCTGTGCAAAGCTTCTCGGCGCTCCCTGGGGACGGGCCTCGCTGGGGATCGCTGGCTGTGACCCCAGCAGAAAGACCGCGCGGTGCCGAGGCCCGGGCTTTGCCGCGAGCGTGTGCCTGAGCACGCGGGTTGCTGGGGTTGCTGGGCTTGCCGGGAGGCCGGGTTGTGCCAGGCGAGGCTGTCATCATAAAGACTAAGCCGAGTTCCCGGCACGGCCGGCGTCTGTGAATGGGTGAGAGTCCTCCATGTGCCACTGGCGTCAGGGCCACGAGGAAAGAGGAGGCCAAGCTGCGACATGAGTCACGTGTCGAAGCCATTCCCACCAATGAAGAACCCGAAGGAAGCAGTTTCTAGAAGTGAAGCTGCAGGCCAGGGCCTCCTTCTCAAGCTGGCCTGGGGCATCGGCCCGTGCAGGTGGCCGTGGTGCCTGGCGGCTGTGGTCAGCAAGCAGCGCTCTGCGCCCCATGGCGTGGCTCTGCCCACCTCCGCAGCAAGGATGAACACGTGAGCTCGGCCTAGCGGGGGACACAGGTGTATAAACGGCCACCGCCGTGCGGAGTGACGAGAGCTTGCATGGAGGCGCGCACACTGTGGGGAGCCCCCGTGAGGTGTGCACGGCAAAGGGCAGTGAGGACGAGAATAAGAACAATCCAGGTCCTCGCTCTTACACAGCGTTCAGAGACAGGTGCACAGGGCAGTCCGTGCAAGCTGGTATGTGTGTGAGCGGCCGTGGGGGAGAAGACTGGGCGTTGAGGAGAAGCACCTCCGAGTCTGCACCCAAGTCCGCCTGGGGAGACTCACTAGCGGGACGGCATCTTGGTGTGGCCGGGCAGGGCGGGACAGACGTCCCCGCCCGGCGAGTGGGGGAGCAGGGACAAACGCTGGAGGTCTCCGGGGGGAGGAGGGTGTTTAGGGTTCTCGCCCTTTGCTATCGCTGGCCCCTCCTGGGCGTGGGGGTGAGGCTGGGCTGCCAGCCAGGACGTAGGTCTCGAAGGGCCCTGCCTGTCATGCAAAGGAGTTGATATTCAGCACAGCCGAGAGGGAGGGACGTGGCGGATGACCAGGACAGGCAGGTGGCGTGAGCGGAATGACTGTATTTCAGTGGAGTGCGCCAGGCTGCCCTCCGCTTCCTGCTGTAACGACCTGCCGGGTCCTGCCGAGCGCGCAGCCCGGCGGGCGGGAGAGGGGCCGAGGCTGTGCTCAGGGTGCGGCCGGGGCCGGCACGTGGGGTGCCTGAGGCGCAGGCGAGGAGTGGACCCGGGCCCGGCTGGACCCGGCTGGTGAGGAGAAGGGCACGTGACGATGGCCTCCCACCGTCCGGGCGCGCAGCGGGTCCACTCCCGAGACGGGGGACACGTGAGGGCTGTGGAATGGTCAAGAAAACAACGAGTGCCGGTTCTGAGGTTGTCACGGGGCAAGGGCTTGTTAGCAGTTAGAGCTGGCCGGGGCAGGGCAGGGAGCCCGCAGGGGGACCCCAGTGGTCTGCGAGGATCCCTGGCAGCTGGAGCCTCCGACTGGAGTGCTGTTGCCCAGAGGGCGAGAGGGCACAGAGGGGCCGGGGCCTCTGGGGACACCGCAGTCAGGACGGCCGGGCAGAGCCCGAGGCAGGAGGGTGGGCTCTGGAAACCGGGGCGGCAGCAGGAGAGATTTCAAGACAGCAGGACTGTGTTTCTCGTGACAGGTCACGATTCTGCGGCACGGTTTCGATGAACTCCCGCTCTTCCCGAGATAAGCCCGTGCTAGGTCGCACCATCCTGTTCTCTTGGACACCCACATTATTTCCCCTTTTTCACAACATGGTGATAATCGACCACGTGAACAGATGCTTACCTGGTTCCCTTTGTATTTCAGAACAAACAATAAGGAATGGGATACCTGGGTCCAAGACCACCCATTTTTAACTCTTTCCGGGCGCATCACCGAGCTGCCCAACGGAAGAGCTACACCAGTTTACACTCCTACTCATGGGCTTTTACGTGTCTCATCTTTCCGATAAACACATGCCCATTTTATGAAATCTTTACTAATTTGATGTATGAGAATTGATGTTGCATTATATTGATTTTTTAAAAATTACTAGTGAAGTTAAAAGTTTAAACAAACTGAACTTATTCTAAACAATTAAAAGAAAAACCCACCAAACTAACAGTGATATAAGTAATGGCTTTTCTGGGCCAGGGATTGAAGCATGCCTGCTTCACATTGTCATATCCAACACACCTCAAACTGGTGTGAGCTGATTAACTGCCTGGTCGTTTTTCAGCTACCGAACTCCGCTTGATCTCCAGGCTGGTCTGTCCAGTAGATTTAAATCTCGATCAGTCAAATTCCGTCTTAACCCGTGCAGCTGACCCACGGCCTCGGTATGCAGTCTGGCCTGCCCTCCCACCTCTCCTCTGCCCTGCAGCCCAAGTCTCCTCCTGGGCCTCCCACGGGAGGTCGGAGCGGACTTCCCGTCGCGCTTGCTGCTCACTCTTCCGCCCCTTGCCCCTCCCATCTGGGCAGGATCCCTCTGCCGACTCTTGGCATAGTGGTTCCTGCAGAGTCCCTGTGCTGGTACGAATCTCCCCCGCTTCCTTCGCAGCCCCTGCGAGGGAGCTGCCCCCCCCAGCCTCTCCAATCCCGGCTTCCTCACCCCAGGGACGCTCTTGGGGTGCAACACAGTGGCCTGGACCTAAGCTGCCAGGAACAGCCCTTCACACCCCTGCCCCCTCCATTCCTGCCCAGCGCCTGCAGGTCAGCGGCCGAGGCACACGTCAGCCGGAGAGCTGCTCGGCCGTCGCGGAGGACGAGTCAGACCCGCCACGATTCAGTGTCTCTTCGCCATCTGGCCCCCGCGTGGGGAGGGATCAGCCGACCACCCCTCCCTGTCTCTTGAAGAGAGGGAGAGCGGCCCTTTCGAAGCTCGATTCCCCCGGCCTCGATGGCCTTCCCTGTCTCGACCATCTCAGTGGTGCCCGTGGTGACTCAGTTCAATGTGCTCGAGCTGCAGCCGAGGTGATGAACCCCTGGGAAACGGGTGCACCAGTCAGGAACTTGGGGAGCCAGAGGCTCTGGGCCCAGCTCCCCCAGGGGTGGGCTGAGCCCTGCTTTCCACGAGATCCCCTGTCGGTCAGGAATGAGGCGAGCGTCACAGCGGGCTTCACTCTAGGCTCCAGAACGCAGGCCTGGGACTAGGCTGTAGTTTATTTGGAGTGAAGGAATCTGAGTGGCTGGCGGGGAGTGACACGGGGAGAGAAGGATGCTATAAAGCTGTGTCGTTTTAGTGCCAGCTGAGGGTGCTGCAGCCTGAGCCCCAAAGGGGACTGGAGCCCTGGGCATGGGTGCCCAGAGCCGGCAGAGGAGCTGGGGAATGTACACTGCTCCCACTGCACTGGCTGCTCTGGACCAGAGCAATGTTCTGGTTCTCTTGGCTTTGTAAACGCACCTGGCAGGGGGCTTCCTGGTGTAGGAGGATGTTCCTTGGCAGAGACTTGCAGGTGCTCACACGTGAGCCTCTGGACCCTGGGGAACAGGCTGGGCACCAGGTGGGACACCCGTTATTCGTAAGTACCTGAGGGCCCGCTCCACGGCCTGTTCCATACTCGCTTCCACCTGCTCCAGCGGCCGGCTCCCCTCCCCTCCCTGCCTCCTGTTGCCAACGCGCCGCCTGGCAGTCCAGGTTGTTATCCATCCTGCACAGGGGGTCTGCTTCGCCTTCGGCCGTGCGGCTGCTGGGACAATCGACCCCAGTCTCAGCTGGGTCAGGAGAGCAATGACGGAAGTCTAGGGAGCGGCTGGTCGGGCTGGCTGCGTGCTGGCGAACTCAGGGGAAGCCCGGGCCCAGGCAGGGAGGCCCATTTTTAATCCCACAAGCATAACCAATCCTTTGTTGGTCCTGAATTAGGGTACAGCAGAGCATGGCTGGTTGCAGGACTCCTGACCCTCGATGGCTCGTGCATTTTCTTCCAGACCCCTCCTTTGCAGGCACGCCTGAGACTCTGCGTCTTCTTGAACCTGCGTGTCCTGACCTACACGCTCAGCTCCTCTCTAGGGCAGCCTCCAGCCTGGCCGTGTGGAACGGTGGCTTTGCCAACAACGACACCCTGTTTGGATTACAAAAAAACAATGAAAAACCTAGCAATTTTCGGGCAGCCATGGACCATTAATGAACACAATTCACCTGTATAACTGGTACCGTGTGGTCAGAAAAAATGCTTCACCTATTTCAGGTGGTCCCGTTCAGCTGGCAGCCGTTATCTAGTTTTACCGATGATGAAACAGAGGGTCAGGTGGTCTAAGTTACCGGCTATGTCTTTATGAGCATTGAGCAAGTTTACCATGACCCAGACTCTCTCGAGGTTAAGTCATACTGGTTCCCTCCTGGACCTCTTTTGTCATCATCCCAGAGGCTTCGTGCCCATGGAGCAGATTGAGCCTGTGTCTTCTCCCAGACAGAGCACGCCTTCCGCCAGGACCCTCCCCAGGCCTCCCATGCTCTCTTCCTTAGCCGGACTGCCTGGCCGGGCAGGACTGGAGAGGCTGGAGCCTCGCATATGTCAGGGCTGCGCGGAGGTGGCTGGGGCTGACGCGGCTGCTGGGTCTCCCGAGCCGAGTCAGGGCATCTGTTTGGATCAACTATAGCACGTCTCCGTGCTTCATAACGTCTTTGCTGAGCTTTGATCAACGCTTTCTGCTTTGCTCCCTTTTACAATTTTCCACATATTCAAAAAGAGATCAGGATATTGTGAGTGGTGCAGGCTTTTCGTATGAAGCCAGTATTATAAACTCAAATGCCATTTGACATGCCTCCCCAACCCCAGTGACTCATGTTTAGGGGTTGGTTAATATTTTCCTGCCAAATTCCCCGGTTCAGCATCCTCCAGCTGCGACCGAGGCTGTTCTTCAAGAGCAGGCCGTCAGGTTCACGTACTTGGGTGTGGCTTCCGGAGAAGTTGGGGCTGCATGCAGGTGCCGAGCCGTGGGCCGAGGTCCAGGGCGCTCCCTCTGTCTGCCCCTCCCCGGTGGCTTGCTGGCCTGAACTTTGACGCTGCCCATGTCCCCACCCTTCCCCCGGGAGCTGAAACACGGGCGTTGAGACATGTGGGGGCCGTCGGTTCCGGGGTCTTCCTGTTTGCTTGGAGTCTTGTGCTGCAGAGTTGGCCACCTTGCAGGGGTCTGGGCCCCACAATGAGCCAAGGTCGGGGACCCCATTTCCACGTTGTTCTGATCTCGGCAACACATGGTGGCATAAACTGCTGAGGAGCAAAAATCCAAAGAAGTACAGATTTGGAACATCCAGTCGTAGCACTGCAGACCTGGGAGTGGTGGCGGAGCATCTGTGCAATCATGGGGACCTCTCCCACATCACTGGACCTGGAAAACATATAGTGTCCTGCCTTAAGTCAGAGCGTGTGTGCAAACAAACCCTCACGCTGCGCTGCAACTCACCTAGCAGAAGGCTTTTGGGCGTCTGCAGAGGAGCTAGCCTCTTTCTGATTCAAGAGAATGATACTTCATTAATTGGCATGAATTTTCCAGGAGTCTAGAAAACAAGATAGGAAATAGGAAGAAATGGCGGAACGTATATTGCCCTGGAAGAATATATTGTTCTCGAAGATCAGATTAAAAGCACTGTGTATAGACGTTCCTAATTTAAAAAATTAAAATCTAGAAATTAAAATTAGAAAATAAACAAGGTCATTGTGTAAACCAGTCTCGTTCTGGTTCCCTCAAAAGCAGCCTGCCTGCGTGTCGTTGCAGGTTGCCCTGGACGGTACGTGGGAAGCAAAACCAGACACTGAGGAGCAAGACAGAAGTGACAAGGCAGCAGGGCAGCATCCACACGACAAGCAGGTGGCATCGGGGACAACGGAGGCTCAGCCCTGGGCCGCGCGGGACTGCGGCGTCTCCCTACGACGGCATCCTCTTGGGTTTGGTTACGTGGGGACGTCCGGTCTCAGCGATTTCGGCGCCCTGCACACACTTGCTGAAGAAGCAGAGAGTCCTGCCAAAGTGAGGTGGGTCTGTCACACACTGGAACGTTCCACGTGGGCGCAGGTGGCTCAGAGTGGCTGGGGTGTGTGGGCAATAACAGCATCACACCGCATGAGTTTGGCATACCACAGGACTACAGTGGAGGCAAGCCAAGTGATGGGAGGTGTCTAGCGAGATGACATAGAGCCACCACTGCTCCACCTGCGATTGACGTCCGTGGATACAGTGAGGAGGTCCATGGTCCCAGCACGTGCTGGCCGTAGCCACGGCCCCCTGTTGCCCACACTTGTCCAGGTGTGGGTCAGCAACTTGGTAAGGACTGCCCAGTGTCCAGGGGTCCAGGGTCCAGGCTCTTGGACAGAGCGATGGGACCCGTGACGCCGTCCTGTGAATTTTGGCTCACTCCTCCGGTTTCTGTCTGATTTTGGAACGGCCCTGATTTTCTAAAGTCTTCCCGTTGTGGCAGTTAAGCCTGCTCAAATACCCTTCCGGTAGTACGATTTCCCCCTGATGATTCACGAGTAAGTTTCTGTCACCTTGCACCCCTAGAGCCTGAACTGGTGTACGCAATAACAATTTAAAATCACTTATTCATCAAAAACATTTGTTGAGCAACCTAAAACATGTGCTCGGTTTTACACAGGCACTGGGACACAGTGGTGACAGAATAACGGTTCCCCGGCTATCCGTGGCTCACACCGCCGGGAGGTGCCGGGCGGAAACTCGCAGAGTCCCGAGGAACGGGAGGCGTTGCATCCCTGCACTGAGACTGCCTGGAAGCCAACTGGGTGTTGAAGACAACTTCTGAACAAGCTGATTTATAAACTTAAATCCAAAGGGCAAGAGGGAGCCCGGCCAGGGAAGACTGCAGGGAGAAATTCTAGATCGAGAGACGAGCCTTGGTGAAAGTCCGGTGGAGATGGGTCTGACACCTGTTTGAGAAGCGTAGACGCGACCAGTGTGGCTGTAGCAAAGCGAGTGAGGGGGAGTTGGGGAGTGGACGTCGGGGAGAGCACGGCCAGGTCGGGGTACGTCAGCCTTGCAGCCATGGGAGGGACCTGTGGGCTTTACCTCAATATGGGCAGAACCCTGCAGAGGTTGAAGTGGGGGCCGTGGGGGTTTGGTTGCCCTTGTTTCTTTCCTGGGATGGGGTGGTGTGAAGTAAAATTCTGTTTACGTGCATTGGAGATTTGGGGTGTCTATTGATTTCAAGTGGGACAGGAGGAGGTTCAGAGGAAGGCTGGCTCTG